AAGGCCGATGTCCAAAGTCCACACAGGCAGAGGAAGGTGAGACCTGTGTCCCAGGGAGGGACTCACAAGGACCTCGTTATACAGGCAAGCCTCGGAGACCTTGTGGATTCGGTTCCAGACCACTGCAGTAAAGCGAGTCATAGTGTTTTTGTTGGTAGAGGGTCTTGCCTTCAGTTTGGAAAAAGAAATGCAACATCTGTGAAGCTTAATAAAGCAAAGCACAGTAAAATAAGGTATGCCTGTAGTGAAGGTTTGATTATTTGGAGGGAAGGAAGGAAGGAAGGGAGGAAGGAAGGGAGGAAAAAGAAAACCTGTTTGGAGAAAGTCAAGCTTTTTTTCAGTAAGTCAGTCGTCAGGGGCTCAGGTTGCTAAGCTACAGGGAAAGTGGAACAGCCCAGTGCTAAAAGGAGCTTTGGGGGAGGTGGGTGTAATTGGGCAGGTTGCTGCCTCCTCCAGACCCAAAGCTTCAAGCCTCATCCACCCACCTTTCCAGGGCTGCTGCGAGGAGGCGGGTAAGGGGGCTGCTCCACCTCCAGGAAGGTCCTCTGGGGTCCAAATGGCAGCAGCACAGCTGAGTGGAGGCGTCAGGGCCTTGGCTATGCCTGAGGTGCCCAGCTGGGCAGCACCTTGTCTGTTACTCACCAAGGCACCTGTGCAACACACTCCAGACCAGCCAGCACAGTGCTATCCAACTGTGTAGGGTCACAAGTTCCATTCACCCTTTAACCTGTTCTTAGGCCAGGGAGGTGTGGCCTTTTCTGGATCTCTCCTGGTCCAGGTTTGCCCTGTGTAACCAAGTGGATTTTTCTTTTAATTTCATCAACAAATGACTTGACTACCAACACCTATAGCTTTTTGAACAAATTCGGAGAATGGGGGTAGAGAGAGTTGCATTGCAGCAGGAAGTCCAGCAGTGGGGGCTCAGTCTACCTTCCAAGGCCTTGAATTGACAGCTTGACCCTGGCATTCAAAGTTGAAGCCATGTGGCCTAATGGGGTCTGGAGACTGCACGTGGCCAGGAGCTCCAGACACACCTGCCTTTGACTGCTGTCCCTCACCGGGCTCAGCACAGGCCACTCTCTGTTCGCTTTAGGAGAGTTGCTCTGAGACAGAAGAGCCTTGCAGGTCCGCCCCATCCGACCTCCCTCCTACTCGGACACGCAACTGCCCCACAGGGCCGAGTGCTCCTGGGGCTGAAAGTTTCGGGAGCTGAGGCCAGTGTAAGTTACCTCCCAGAAGCAGACTCCGAGAGGCGAGGACAGGGGAAGCGATGGGGTGCCTGGAAATAGAGAAGCCAGAGAAGCAAAAGATAGGAAATGGGGAGTCAGGTGGGGGAGGGAACTAGGGAGGGAGGAGGGAGTCAAGATCTGATCAAGACTCCTTCAGAGAGCCTGGCAAGAGAGTCACCAGGGCAGCAGCTGAAAAACAGCAAAGAGGAAATCTAGACTGGTGATAGAGGGAGAAGGCTCTGGGGAAAATGACCAAGGCAGCAAGGATCTAGAAGAAGAAACTGATCATTGCCAACATTATCTCTGGAGCTCCCACCTGGGCAGAGACCACCACTTCCCCAGTCCCTGCAACCCCCGCTCTGGGGGGGTTGTCTGTGCCTCTCCTACTGAATGTAATGCTCCCACTTACTACCTATGGGACCTCGTGCAACTTACCCTCAGTTGTGCATCAGTTTCCTCATCTGTAAAATGAAGTTAATGATCATCGCAATCTAGCAGAGTTGCTGTAAGGACCAAATAACTTACTATGTGGGAGGTGCTTAGACCAGTGTTTGGCACTCTAGTTAGCATGAACTATTATGATTTTCATCACCACCATCATCTGCATTTTATTTTCAGTGTGAAATGAATGACTTGTGCGAGGTGGGAACTCTGCCCCCTTCTGTAACGAGGAAAAACCAGGCTGAGGAGGTCAAACACTTGCTCAGGCCATGCAACAAATGCGTGTTGGAGCCAAGATCCAAACACAGATCTGCTGGCTCCTTCAGCTCCCATTGTTTTCCACTGTGTGTGTTCACCCCTCGTGGTCCCTTGGATCCTCGATAATGACGAATGCAGGAAGCAGCTGTGGGCCAGTGGCAAGATCAAAGCCTCAGAGTCGGAACACTCGGAGCCCAGGTCCTACCTGCTAACTGGGGACCTGGGCACATCCCTTCTCTCTGGACCGTGGCTTCCTCACGTTCAATGGAAAACACCACCACTTGGGAGAGGTGTTGTGAGAGAGGTAAAGCTATCCATCACCGTGAAAACACCAATGCAGAACCTTTTCTGTGTCTTGCTGAAGACAAGCAAAAAACATTCGTGTGGAGTTCTTGTGGCTATTTTTCTGGCTCCCTGTTTTCACCCCCTGCCCTGGGAAACCATTTCAGCCTCAGTTTCTGAAATACCTTTCTGTCCTTTGCTCACTCTTCGTGCTTATGTTTTCTTTCCCTGCAAGTTTCCATCTATTTCTGGAGGCTCCAATCCCCATTCGCGGTTAGTGCCTAAATATGGGCCTGTTCCCAGGCCTTTAGCTGGAGACTTAAAACACTGTCTTAATCCAAGGAGCAACCCCAAGCAAAGTGTGGGACTGGGTAGAGCCCAGCCTGCCGCTGCCTCCCTCCTCCCAGGCTCTGGCGCCAGGGGCCCTGGGTTTTCTCTCCCTCTAATCAGAACTGATCTCTGGACAGGATCTGAAGTTCCTTTCCACTCTTGCAAAAGTAGCAGATATCTGAATGAGGGTGAGAACTTGCTGCCCAAGCCCTGAAATCTCTCTGCAGAGTTTCCCTGTGGTGCATCCCCAAGGGGAGGCGGCTGGACTGGAGCGAGGGAGACAGACCACGCAGCCCGTGGGGACCCACCCGGGTGTCAGCCAGGCCCGGGCGTAGTCTCTGGAATGTTTCCTTGTTGTAGGTACAGCATCATAGTCATGCTTGTCACACCTATGACATCTGTTATCTTTCCATCCTAAAGAGCTCTGGGGATGTTAATGAATGCAAGGCAGTCTAAAACAGCAGACTGTCAGGCAGCTGCCTCCAACCACAACTGAGGCCTCCTTCTTGTACTTGGAAGCCTCCTTCAAGAAATTCAAGGTTTCTAAAGCCCATGTCAGCTCTTGTTCTAGCAAACAGGTAATATGCCTTCAGTGTTTTGGACCAGAGTCTTAGTTCCATTCCTAGCTGATTTCTAAAAAGCATTTCGTCACTGTCATTCCGTGTGTATTAGGCACCCACATCAGCATACGGATTCAAATTCAAACTCCTCATCCCAACCGCATGGATTTGGGCAAGTCTTCGGGGCTTTGGTCTCAATTTCCTCGTCTACAAAAGGAAATAATAGTACTGGACTCTGGGATGATCGGCGAGCCTTAAATGAGATAAGATCTGCAAAGCACCTACCTCAATGCCTGGTACTTAGCCCCCAGGAAAGTGAGTTTCCTGCACCCTCTTCCCACCCCCACCCACATTCCCACTCCTTTGCACAGTGCTGAAGAGAACTAAACAGAAGGATAGATTCAAAGCTCCCCAGTACCCTGTGTTCTAAAAGGAGATACATTTAATTATTAAAAACCTCAGACACACATTCCTTTTGTTTAATGACTTCAAATGTGCACTTTCACCCCTTCCTACCCTTCGCTAGGAAAGAAGAAAAGAAGCAAAAGATGAGCAGGGGGTGTTGCGCATGCTGGTCATTGCGTGTGACACACCAGAACAGACAGATTGCTTTGAACTAGGAGATTATCTAAAGTCTACAGTGTGGAATTATTAACCTCGCCTAAGCTGCAGCGCATACAAAAGAAACCGGCCAAGTATCCCTTCCTTTGCAAGCGCCGTGATAATTTAATCGTCAGTTGGTGCAGCGGGCGTTCATTTCAAGATCTCGGGAGCACAGGTATCTTGTCCAGGTTGTTATGACCTTCTCACACCTGCTCTGGGTGTCCCCACTGTCCTAGGCCCAGGGCGGCGGGGAAGGTCCATAATTACTAATACATGACTAACCATCTTTTGGATTCAGGATCAGAACCAGGAGAGCAAGAGGAGTGGCTAAGTACAGAGATCTGTCGTGCTAAGAACACCCAAACCCGTAAAGAATTTTTACAAGGTTTTATTTCAGCCAAGCACCGGATACACCTGGAAGCGAGATCTCAAAAGACTAAGAAAAATGCTTCAGAGGGTAACAGTTTGCAGTTTCTTTTATGAATCCAGAATGAAGGAGGGAACGTGAGGAAGGTTACAAGGGAGATGGGAGACAGCAAGGTGGGGATCGGATTACAGGGTAGTTAAGACTATGTGGGCGTCTGAGGGTAGTTATGCTTCAGATGCCTAAAAGGAGAATTACCCCGGCACTTCAAGGGTGTGTTAACTTCGATGGAGAGGGCTTGCTTATGGCAAAGATAAACCTTTTCTAAATAAGTTATATGCCTGGGGTGTGGCTACTACCCTCTATGACCTGCCCAGGGTGGCATTTATGATCAGATGACCTGGGAGGTTACTTTCCGTCACTGGCCTTGTCAGGTTTATTGTAGAACCGCGTTTTCATCCACAACAGGAATGTGAAGCTACACTGGGAGGTGAAGCAGGGTGTGAAGAGACCAGGCCAGAAAAGAGGATCCCCAGTTGTGGACGGCTCCACGCTGGGGTGCTGGCTGGACAGAGCAGTCAGCGCCGGCCGGTCCAGAAGTGCGGGGCGTGGCCGGGCGTGGAGCAGGTGCCAGGTGCCAAGCCTGGAGAGGGAACGGGCGGAGGGAAGATGAGCAGGGACCAGGAAATAGCCGGAGCTGCAAACAAGTAGGACGAAAATAGCTTAAGGTCACAACTCAATGTCTGCCACCAGCCTGTCAAATCTGTGTGTGAGAGACAGCAAGAACAGAGTTCAAGATGCCAGCTGAGGGCTGGTGCTGCTCCACCGGATGGGGACTCTGTGAGGGCAGGGGTGTCACCCTAGAGCCGGGTGTGGCAGGCCAGTTATTGGAACTAAATAAATACTCACTTTCCTGGGCATTGTAAAAACTGACAGAAGTCCGTGCAGGGATGAGGCGAGAGGAGCCAGGGAAGAGACTGCACGGCACCACCACACCTGAACGTGGCCTTGCCGGTGAGTGCTCCACCTGCCTCAAAGTGCCTTCAGTGAATGACCCCCACCCCGCCCTCCTTTCCGCATCCTGGCTTACTTACCTGTGGCTATCGTGACAGATCATGACAAACCTGATGATTCGAAACAACAGAAATGTGTTCTATCGCAGTTCTAGAGGCAAGAAGTTGAAAGTCGATATCTCGGGGTTGACATCAAGGTGTCAGCAGGACCATGCTCCCTCCAGAGGCTCTAGGAGTGAATCCTTGCCCCTTCTAGCTTCTGGTGGCCGCTGGCATTCCCTGGTTCGTGATTGTGTCTCTCCAATCTTTCTCTGCAGCTTTACAGGAACTTCTCCTGTGTGTGCTTGAGTGTGCGCTCGAGTGTGTGTGTGTGTAATCTTCTACTTCTCCCTTGAAGTAGCATTTAGGACCTACCTGAGTAACCCAGGATAATATCTGTATCTCAAGATCCTTAATTTAATCACATCTGCCCTTTTTTCTCAGATGGTAGCATTTGCAGGTTGGAGGGGTTAGGACCTTGCATCTCCTGGGAGGTAGGGACCACCCTGCACCCCACGGGGCCTAGAGCAGCAGCGGCTGGGAGAGGAGTCCAGCTGGCTTTTCCCTGGAGTGGCGTGGCAGGGGCAGGTGTGCAATGAGGAGGGGAGGAAAGCTGTCACCAGGGCAGAGGCAAGGCAAAGCAGGGGTGCGGGGGCGACTGGTGGGGGCCACGTGGTGATAGGCAGGGCGACATCGGTGAGGCCATAGGGCAGAGTGTGGCTTGGCACCAGCATCTGGGTGGAGGCAGGTTAACGTTAAGTTTGTGTGAATTTGTTACGGCAGCTGCAGGAAACTAAAAAGGGTGCCAAAGGGATTGGCCTTGCTTTCCTAGCTCTTTCCCAACCCCTGTAGTTTAACAATTGTCTTATCTGCCTTGCTCCTCACTCCAGCCCCTTTCTCTGAGAACCTGGCACAATAGCCACCATCTATTGAGTATCTACCTCATGGGAGGCACGGAGCCAAGGCCTGCACATGGGCTACATCACTAATCTGTGCAATAACCCTGTGGGATGGGCGTTAAGGCTGGAAGAAGTGGAGCGGCTGGCTCAGGCTCACACAGCTAGACCACAATAGAACTGGGAGCTAAACCCAGCTGAGGCTAACTTCAAAGCCTGTGGCCCTGGCCTTAGTGTTTCACTGTTTGAGTGGGTGCCCTCTCTTGTTGACCATCAGTTCTCCAGAAGCCTGTTGGCATCTCATACAAATAACTGCTTATCATCAAAACAACTCCATGAGGTAGGAGCTATTATGTCCATTTTTACAGACAAGGAAGCTGCCGCCAGTGGTAGAAACAGCCTCGGACCTTGGGGATTCTTGGGTCCCAGACCCATGTCATTGCCTCTGATCCTCTCTACCCACCCCCCCACCCCCACCCACTTGCACCAGCACGCTGGGCTATAATTTGCCTTGGATGTAGTTCAGGTTTCTGAAAGGCTTCTGTGTTGTCCAGAGCCTGGGGGGCTTCCATCAAGTGCATGTGTGAGGCTTGCTTGTTCGTTTCCAGAGAGTTCAAAACACCCACCAGTGCTGTAAAAATACTGCGCTGCCCAGACACTGACAAACGCCCTGCCCACATTTTCCAGAGTCTCCCTGCCTAGTCCTATCCACACCCTCCTCCTCCCCTCTTCCTCACAAGAAAGCTTGAGAGATTTACACTGCAAAATTGGTACATTTTAAAAATCTGCACAATCCAAATTATTATAACATTGGTTATTACAATGATAATATAAAAACTGGGAGAGAAAAAAAATGTTGACAAATTCTCCAAACTATGTATCCCAAGTAAATCTTTCGGAAAAAAAAGTACCTTAACAAAAGTGAGTAGAGGAAAGAATGCCAGGAAAGAGAGAGAAAAACGAAAAGGGAAAGGAAAATTGTGTACATTTATAAACTCCAAATACCTAAATGGATGTATCGAGAATCAGTGGTAATTAGGATGCTTTCGTATGAAGTGTCGGAACACTTCACTGAAATAGCACAGCGTGCAGCGTGGCCAACAGACAGCGAACTGCCTTTGGAAGTAAACAATGATTTCCTGGATCTGCCTGGCTCCCTGGGGAGTGGGGAAAGGAAGACGAGTCCAACGAGAGAGAGAAAGCACTCCCCGTGGTTGTCAGCAGAGGTAGCACAGTGACCAGAGACCAGGACCAGAAGCTGCGTAGCTGAGACTCAGTCTCGGCCCTCCAGCCCGTTTGCTGCGTGACCCCGGACGAGGCATTTCCCTTCTCCGCGCTGCGGCGTTTCCCATCTGCAGACGATGGCGATGGTGCCTTCAGACTCTGCTGGATGTTTTTAACCAACACAGAATCACAACCGTTTTGTTTTGTTTTATTTTTGCTTTTCTTCTTCAAAGAGAATGAGGCAAGGAGATAGGATCGCTGCTCCACACACATTTACCCAGAGGGCAAAACCACACGGACATTTGGTGAAAAGTCGGACAAGAGCGTGCCTCACACCCAAATCCCAAGCTCAATAGAACGGCCCTCGCCGTGCCGTGCTGTGCGCCGTGCTGTGCTGTGCGGGGCTGGGGCAGCCTGGCCGGGGAGGAGGTCTGTGGAGGCCTCTGTCTGAACCCCTTTCACTGCAGCATTCCCAGAAAACCAGCCCTGTCATTAAGCCTGCAGTGTAAACACGGTGCTCGGCAAGAGCCCAAGTTTGCAGTCACCTAGAGCAAAGCTCGCTCTTTTCAAGGGAGCTCTTTCAGCATTCATCCTGCACCAGTCCCTGCTTTAGGACCTGAGACAAACATGGGGCTCCCCTAGGAAATCCCTGGCCCTTCTTCCAAAATCCCCGCAGCCTGTGGGCACGATTCGGAATTTTGTTTCGCTGGCTGGTGCAGACCCCAGTTTGTCTGGGGAGAGAAACATCCACAGAAGGGTCAGAGAGGCAGGGTCCTGGGGTGGGAGTAAGAAAAGGGCCCCTTGCTGTGGCTGCCACAGAGCTACAGAAGGAAATAACACATTCAGAACATTTTGCCCAGAGTCCAGAATTTAGACTTACCAATAAGCATTTCTTGCTCTGAATATTTATCATAAGTATATTGAGTGTTTAGTATGCCATTTTGTTCTTGTTAATTAAGAGGCCGCTTCGGTGTGTTACAGCTGCATCTTGTGTGTATGTTCTGAAGCCCCACCTAGCTAGCAAGCTCTCCAAAGGCAGAGGAAGTGCCAGCTGTTTGGTTTCCAAGCCCAACAAGGTGCCGAGTGCAGACGTGAGCCAAGACAGGCAGGCTGCTTTCGCCAGGAAGTCAGTCAACAGCAGCTCCTCAATGCGCCCAAGGCCCCTCTCCCACCAGTCCGTTCCCACCCACTTCCATGACTCACACGGCACAGGTTCCTCCCCATGTCTGAGGAAAGCGAGGAGAACATTGAGAAAAGTGTTATCAGGTGCTTCTCCATAGCCATCCTAGTATATACCCCATCTTGTACTTTCTGAATAGTGATGATAATAATAATAATAATAGCTAATATTTATTGAGCATTTACTATGTTCAGGCATTGCTAAGTGCTTTATCTTGCAACACAACCTTCATACCACCCATCCTGCAGGTGAAAAAACTGAGACTTGGGTACATAGCTAAAAAATGGTAGACTGGGACTCAGAGCAGGACTGGCTGGCTTGACTCCAGTGGTTTAACATCTAAGCCAGTGACTTTCAACCGGTACACTGCGAGAATGTTTAAAACCTGCAATACCTCACTGTTCAGTCAGGGGCACTGACCTCTTTTCCCTTAGATTGTCAAATAAAAAAAATGACAGCAGCCATCCCAACAATAGCCATCCAGTGTGAATGAATCAAAATCATACCTGCTTTTTGTCAGATCAGCAAAAAATATATAATATATGTTCTGGTGTGCTGCAGAACTTCAGTAATTAGTTTGTGTGTGCTATGAGATGAAAAAGGTTGAAAATCGCTGATCTAAGATATACTGCTTCCTGGACTAGCTTGTGAACAGAGATCCTGTCTTTTTTCCCCCCCTATATTCCTGCAGAGCCTGGAAGGACCCCCAGTGACAGTAGGCTCTAGGCACCTGCCTGCTGCTGCCTGATGGATGGGAGGTCCCCGCCCAGGGCAGTGAGATGCCAGAGACAAGAGTGACACAAGGACAGAGGGGGACACCGCGAAGAGTTGGGAGAGCTGCTGAAAGCCAGGCTGATTTAGGGGGTGGGGGTGAGGTGTAGGCACAGAGACCCCCACTAGGCAATACTCAGGAACTTCCAGAGAGCTCTGAGAAGGTAGGAGGGCTTTTCTCCTCTAAGGAAGACTCTTCAAGCAATAATGAGGCATCCAGATACTGCAAGGGCGCAGGGACGGCTCTGGGGCCGAGCTTAATTCAATGTCCCCATCTTTGATGATCACTAAGGAGCCAGTGTTGCCCCTTGCAAAAAACTGCTCATCCGTTGCCCTGGCTGACTTCCAGTTTAGAAAAAGCCACAGCACTCAACTGTTCCTGTGCTTTGGGCAATCTGTGGAATCTCCCTTTTTTTTCCTGCACTAAAGGCGTGAGAGGTTGCAGCCCCGTTCTCCTAATGGCTTATGTTTCAATATTTAACTTTTAAATCAGTTATTTGGAACAGAGAATACATTTCCCAAAAGGAAACATGCTCTTTTAAGAGGTTATGATCTCAGGTAGGCCCTAAAGGCCTTATTTTATCCATTGTTAATAGCTTTGAGTCCAGGGGTACATATCACCTACAAATAATCACGTGTTTGTAGAGGGAAATGCATTCCCAGCTCTAACTCAGCGTGCCAGGGCACGATTCCCCCTGGACCTTGAAGTAAGGATTCCTGAGAATGAGAGGGCTGGCAGCTCTGTGGTACCTGTTGGCTTTCCAGCTGGGTTGGAAGAGGAGATCAGATGCGAGGGAAAAGCTCATACCAGGTTTTCAAGGAGGCCACATCTGCTGAAACAGAGTGTACGAACACTGCTGCTGTCTGCTGGCTCAGGACGGCCCACGTGAGGGTGAACGGCACACGTGAGCATAGACGTCACACTCCTCACCTCCACCTTCAAACAGAAAAGTGTTTCCACCATCCTCAGCCTGCTAACTCCCTGAAGCCAAGAGACCAATACTCACCTCATTCCAGCTCCATCCCAAGACCTTATCCTGCACCTACTCATCTATGCTGAGGGACAGGGGGTTGAACAAGTGCCTCCAGGAAGCTCCTTATTTATTTATTTTTAAATCATTATAATAGCTACTACTTTTATTTAGTACTAACTGTATGCCAAGGACCTTTTAATTTATTATGTTTTTATTTATTATATTCTCACCATAACCCTAGGGTATATTTATCGTTAGCCTTGCGCAGACCGAGAAAACTGAGGTTTGGGATGATTATGTAACTCGCCTTAGACCACATGGCTAGTGCATGGAAGAATCAGCATTCAAACCTCGGTCTGTCTCAAACCTCAGATCCCAGGCTGTTAACTGCTGTGCTGTACTTGTTTTTACAGAAAAGAAATTTTTAAAAAATCTATCACAAAGCAAAGCTTGCCGTAGTATGTTTAAAATATCTGTTTTTATTTAAATGATCATCTTAAAACTGATGTAAGCGTAACCTGGGTCACGGGGCAGTCCAAACATAACGGAGCCCTGTGGAGTGGTTTAACGGCTCCTTTTTCTGTTTTCTTATGACTGATTTCCAGCCAAGAGGAGGCCAAATACCATCACGGCACATTAAATAAATGAGGGTTTTGCAGTAGACTGAGCAGAGACAAATCACAGGAGAATTGCTTGTTCATGCGGTCACACAGCACACAGTGGGACGGGCATGCCAAGTTCACAAGGGTTTGCCCCTTCGGTACCAACCTCGCATTGGAAGTAGACACATTACAAAGACTCCGTCTCTCTATGCCCAGCATCGCACACACGTGGACTCATCATTACCTGGCTGTTAAGCGGCTTAGTCCCTACGAGAGTTGTTGAGAGATAAAGTTTTTCTCTAAGTCTCCTCTTAACTATCCTTCTTTCTCAGTGATGCAATGAGTAGTTATACATATTCTCTAGAAACTTCTCATTTGCTTAGTTAAAAAAAGAAACTCTAAGAAACAGGAAGAAAGAAACTTACTAGTTCAATCCTCCTGTATGAATAAGCACATCAAACTTGTTTATGAAAAAGGAAGAATCACAAAGTTTCAGTTTGTTGCAACATTAGAAAAAGTGGGAGAGGAGGAAGCAGAGAAAAGCAGCACACATAGGAAGCATGATGAGATTATAGAAAGAAACCCAAATATCAGTAATCACAATAAATGTAAATGGATTAAACTGGCCTGCTAAATAATACAGAAAATATTAGATTGAAAAAATAGAAATCCAGATATACTTTTTATAAGAGACTTGCTCAACTGTAAGATTGCAGAAAGACAGAAAAGTATGAAAAAATATAGAAATGACAAGTACTAACCAAGAGAAAGCTAATGTGGCTATTATTAATATCAGACAAGTGAGCTTGGGATAAAGCAAGTCACTGCATTTTGATAAAAGTTTTCCTCTGGGAGATATAACAACTTTAAATGTACCTGTCCTTAAAACTCACACAGGAGGGAGGAGTCGCTTGAAAGGGTCTTACACAATGAATAGTTCACCAGATAGAAAAGAGGAGGGGGTCAGGGAGAAGGGCGTGCCAGACTGCGGAAACCCCACATGCCGAACACCAGACAGGTGAGGAAACCTGGCTCGTACAGAGCTCTAAGGCACTGGGTAATAACACCAAGCAGGAGAAATTAAAACACGGTAAGTGGTAGTGAGTTCACATTCATGGAGGCTTAGTTTCTATGACAGTTTTCTGTACCAGAAAAAAGAACTGGACCAAGTTCCTCTTCAGCATAAAACCAAAGTCCCTAGAAAAAGAATACTACTTGCTTGCACAGGGGATGGGAGGAACACAAAGAGCTAATGCTTTCATTTTTCTTGGCAAATCCTTCACTGCAGATTTCAAAGTCCCAGAATAATTCACTCCGGTGATGTCATTCCTGCCTTGGGTGATTGCATGTCCTGAGTAATCATGCGACTAACACCCTCTGGCTGTCACCGAGAGGTCCAAACAAGACCAGCAGCATTACTCAGCCCCAGAGTGCTAGCGAACTGCTTTAGTTGCTCACTTTCATAATTACAGTCTGATTCTTTACGTGTAATAGACAGAGGGTAACAAAGGAGACAGAAAAACAAGTGTGGAAGCTATTTCGTGTTCATGCCGTGACCTAACGCATTCATTTGATTTCAGTTGGCAAAGGAAGCAGAAGATCCGGTTTGACGAAAAAGATCAAGAGTAGTTGCACAACAGGCTTCTGAGTTGGGAACGTCTTTTATATATTGTCAGTTTCTACCATGACAGGTAATTCGCTCAGTCGTGAACAAAACACCTTAGACAGTAGCCAAAACCCCTGAGGAAATAATGTGCACTTTAGACATAATGAACTATTTTTTATAATTTCAGGCAATCTGTGCTCCTTGAATCGGACTCATTTTTGCTGATATGTTTAACTAAGGAATTCTCTAATATGCAATGGGAATTGGCATCTATCCACCCACATTTTATGTTGGTGGTGAAAACTGGAAACTGAGAAAAGAGGCTGGAGGGACGGGGGGTTGTCTCCTTTTATGGTTTCTACAAAAATGTCTTTTTCTGAGAGTTAAGCATGGTTTTTGCTTTAATCACTGCAGAGAGCATTTTCCACATGAGAGGACGTGGAGCAGAGGCTTGGAACCCTGTGCCCCGTTTTCTCTCCAGGGATCCGTGTTTACCTCTGCCCAGAAAGGGGCTCTCTGCCCCTCCTCTCTTGTTTGCCCCTCCTTTTTTGTTCATCCCTCAGTTCTTTTCCTGCCCGATAGAGAATAGAAGAAGGCATGCAACCCAGTACTTTTTGTAGAAGCTGCTTTAGTCTAATAACTCTGTAAGTATCTATCAAGTGGGTGCCACGTGCCAGCACTGTTCTAGGTGCTGAGAACACTGCGTGAACAAAGCAGACAGAGGTCCCGCCTGTCACTGAGCTCCACTTCAGGGTTGGCAGCCAAGGCATCTCAGAGGCAGTGCTCTCTGAGCTGAGCTCTCACTATGAAAAGGAGTGCGCCCAGGGGAGAACACCTGGAAGAGTGTTCCAAGGAGGGGGAACAGCCCAGTGCAGAGGCTTTGAGAAGAGCATCAGTCCCATGCATTCCAGGAAAAGGAAGGAATGTGGTGAGTCATTCCTGGGTTCCAAGTCACCCACACATGAAGGCCACTTGTAGCTGCTAGGTCACTGGGCAGGAGCCATGCCAAGAAAGAAAGAAATGTCCTCTGCCAAAGGTAAGAGATTCAGATAACAAGGGCCCTCTAATTCCATTCCGAGCTAGGGGTGCTGGGGCGGCTGTGGTTTCAGAAAATCAATATGGCAGCCTGTGGCAATGGCCCTGAATGGAAAGAGACTGGAGCCTGAGAACCACAGAGGGGACACTCCGAAGGTGGTGACAGAAAGCAAGAGAGAGATGAGGTCTCTTTAGAGAGAAAGGGGGAACAGAGCATGCTGCTTTTAGGAGAAAATCATCAGTTTGGGCGAGGAAGAACGGGGACCTGAAAATAAGAAATAAGAGAAGTTAGTTTAGGGCATTTTTCCCACAGAGGGCCAGAGTTTGAGTAGAAGCCAGAGAGAGTCCTCTTTAGAAGTCTGAGAACTGGAGACAGGTGAGTCAGAGGAGGATCCGGTTTGCGAAGGGGGTGGGGAAGGCGGATGGACCCAGACGGGCACGTGTTCTCACGCAGCCATACACGCACGCAGCGATGCCAGGTGCCTTTTCAAAAATGTGCCAGGTCGAGTGAAAGGAGCTGAATGTATCCTTTTTATATTTATACAGGAAGCAGGGTGGCCAAGCCTCTGTTTTCACAGACTGCATTTTCAACACCGTTTTAACCTTCGTTCCCTTTCAGTGAACACAAAATTCACATGCCCTTTTTTAAAGTCATTTGACATGTTAAAATAATTCTAGTAACTAAAAACAAAGCCAGGTGATCTCAGAATATTTTTTTAAATTATTTTATGTTTTCTGTATGTTACTGTATGTTTCCATCGCTGATGTCCCCTCTGCCCAGGTTTTGGCCTGTCCCCTTTGGTCTGTCGGACCTACTGGAATTCCCACACGAGTCCCTGCTGAGCTGTCTGCTGCCCGGAAATGTGACCAGACCTGCATACCAGCCTCAGGCTGCTGTTCCCTAACTCAGAAGGGAAAGGGAAAAGGCGACAACTAGGTCTGCCAGAGTTTGTCTTTAAAAATATGTAGAGGCACTGTAGATGGATTTATCAAGTGAAGGCGGAGGCTGCTGGGGGAAGAGACAACTTGTCTGGCCTCCGAGAACCAAGCTAGACCCAGTGATTTAGGGGAACCTGGGCATAGAAAAAACGTTAGCTTAACCCCAGAGCGCAGGAAATTGGAATGATAATTTCCTAATTATTTTGTTGTTTCCAAAGATTTTTATATGTATAGTTAAATGGAAATTCATCTCTTGCAATTCAGTAAGAGGTATACTGTATAAAGATTTTAAGACAATCTATAAAAGAGCCTTTATTAAACTAACAGCATGTGTTAATATAAATAAAATGTGTATATATTTTTAAATTGCTGTGAAATCAGGATAAAATTTCTAGACTCTTGTAATTTAAAAAAATTTTCACATTAAAAAAAATCTCTCTAAGGATCAGAACTTTCTGACAGCAGAAGCAGTAAACACCCAGCCCTGCAGGTGAGCTTCGGTGTAAGTCTCAAGCCTGCCCTGGGTCTGGGGTCTCTTCCATCGCTTCTGTTGTGTGACTTGGCTCATATCTAAACACCATGAGCTCGGCACTGAGTGAGGGCAGTCCACAAAGATGTTGGTTCTCTCTCCCATCAGACATAGCCAGTTAAAAAGAACTATTGACACCATTATCATTAGAGAAATATAAAGCAAATCACAACAATATACCACTTCTCACCTGCTAGGGTAGCTGTAATGAAAAGGACAGACAATAACAAATGTGACAAGGCTATGGAGAAATTGGAAGCGTCATACATTGCTGATGGGAATGTAAATGGTGCAGCTTCTTTGGAAAACAGCCTGACAGCTTCTTAAAAGTTAAACATAGAAATACTGTAACATATGACACAGCAATTTCAACCCTAGCCATATGCCCAGGAGCAATGAAAGCGTAAGTCCACACCAACACTTGTACATGAATGTTCATAGCATCATTATCCTTAACAGCCAAGAAATGGAAACAATTCAAATGTCCATCAACTGATGAGTAGGTAAAATGTGTATGTCCCTACAATGGGATATCACTCTGCAACAAAAAGAAATAAGTCCTGACCCTTGCTGCAACATGGGTGAGCCCTGAACACGTTGTGAGTGAAAGAAGCCGCATATTGTGCAATGCCAGTTATATGAAAGGCCCATAATAGGCAAATCTATAAAGACAGAAAGTAGATTAGTGGTTGTCTGGGGCCAGGAAGGGGAGGGAGAAGGAGGGGAAAGAAGTTTGAGGGGAAATAAGGAGTGTCTACTAATGGCTATGTAGTTTCCTTTTGGAGCTATGAAAATGTTCTTAAAGTTGATTGTGGTGATGGTAACAAAACTCTGAGAATCTACAAAAAATTGATATGTACACTTAAAATGAGTAAAGTGTACAGTATGTAAATTATATCCTGATAAGACTGTTAACCCAAAGAAAAAAGAAAGAATTTGGACACTAAATTCAGAATATAAATCGACTAATAGATTCTAGACCAGTTTAGATTTGTGCTGGCAATACACATGGGGGATGGGGGGGTAGCTGAAAGAGAGAGAAAGAGAGAAGAACAACAGCAAAATGGGAAGTAAAATTTCAACATTAACAGTTATTTGTAATTTGCTAATTAAAGTGGAGTTTCTACCATGTAAATATCTGCTTCTAAATTCTGACTCCAGAGGTTTCTTAAGGATGAATTCTCTTAAACTTCCAGATAGTACCACCCTGAGACCCGGGCAGCCCTGACCCCAGACCTGCCCCCTATGTCTACCACACACACACTAAATTGATTAAAAAATATATGGGTGCCTCCAGCCCTAGGGATCCAGCATTCCGTGCTCACCCAGTGTGACCATGACCCTAAACATTTCTTCTTGAGATAACATCATCCAGGACTCATGGAAGCACTTCATACCTCTCTTGCCCTCTGTCTTCAAAACAAAAGAAGTTTTTTGGGTTGTATTGCTGCCGATATTAGAAACAAAAACTGCTTTGAAAAGATTTAAGTGGTGGAAGCTTCTAGATAAGAAAAGACAAACTAATTAAGTTGTCAAATCCTTTCTCTTCCAAGTATATGAATGCAAAACGTTCTTCCATAACAGAGTATCATTATCCAGGAGTGCCGAGCATCCCTTTTCTGGCTTCTTGTTGTGTTCCATCTCATTGTCCTGGAGGTACCTGAGAATTAGATGGCATTCACAATACTTGCACACAATGATGGAGGATATTTTGCAATAGCCAACAATTCATGTTAACTCTTAAAATGTAAATATGTAGATGTAGCTGCAGCATGAATGAACCATAATATTGATTCTTTATACTGACAGCTAGATGGATATTCAATGCTAGGATTGCAATAATTTAATTTTTATAATACATTTAATAAGATTTAATCAAATATTTAAAAGTTTGGTTATATTGAAATAATTTTATTTAAAATGTTGATGTAGGACTTCCAGTCAAGATGGTGGCATAGGCAGACATGGCTTGACTCTTCACACAACCACATCAAAATTACAACTAAATATAGGACAACCATCACTCAGAACTGTCAGAAATCGAGTTGAATGAAAGTCTGACAACTACAGAATTAAAGAAACTACATTCATCCAGACTGAACCACAGAGCCAGCAAGCTGGTGCCATATCTGAGACTCCATCAACCTGGCTTGTGTACACCGTTTGATTGCCTTGGAGATCTCCAGAGACTCTGCCCCACCCAACTTATGGGCCCATCCAAGCTGCTTTTCCATATGAATGGTCTTGACTCATCCTTTACAACTTCCTAAATCCTCTCAAACAAGCAACAACTGGCCTCAGTGAGCCCCAGTCCTGGAACTAGCAGCCTAGATTCACAGTTGAAGTCCAGCACAATTAGCAGCCACCTCAGATTGCTTTATAACTCAGGCAGGGTGGCTCTGGGCAAAACACAGGTTGGGGCTGATCTTGGTCTGCACCACTCAGGTCTGCACACAACCCCAGGGGCCAGTGCACCCAGTGGACAGTTACAGACCATGTCAGAGCACCAGCTCTCTGCCCTTGCACAGCTGATCCTCCACAGAGGGTAGAGGTTGGTGGTAAGTGGTCACAGCCAATCCTTGCAGCTAACTGGTCTGAGTAACTCCCTCCCATTGATCTGCCAACAGCAACCAAGGCTCAACTACAAGAGGAGGGAGTACTTAACCCACATGAAGGGCATACCTTGAGTACCCAGCTTGGGTGATAGGGGAGATTGTGCCACTGGACCCTACAGGACACCTACTATATTAGGCCACACAACCAAGACATGGAGGCAAAGCAGCTCTACCTACCACATAGAAACAAACACAGGAGGCTGCCAAAACAAGGAGACAAAGAAACAAGGCCCACATGAAAGAACAGGTCAAAACTCAAGAAAAAGAACTAAACAAAATGGAGATAATCAATTTATCAGATACAGAGTTCAAAACACTGTTTATAAGGATACTCAAGGAACTTAGTGAGGACCTCAGCAGCATATAAAACAACCAGTCAGTAACAAAGGATACACTAATTGAAACAAAAAACAATTTACAGGGAAGCAATAGTTGAGAAGAAGCCGAGAATCAAATCAATATGATTTAGAACATAAGGAAGCAAAAAACTACCAATTAGGACAATAAGAAGAAAAGAGAATTAAAAAAAAATGAGAGTAATGTAAGCAGCCTCTGGAACAACTTTAAGCAATCCAACATTTGCTTCATAGGGGTGCCAGAAGGAGAAAAGAAAGAGCAAGAAATTGGACATCTGTTTTTAAAAAAATAATGAAAGAAAACTTCCTTGATTTGGTGAAGGAAATGGACATGCAAGTGCAGGAAGCACAGAGAGTCCCAAATGAGATGGATGCAAAGAGGCCACTCCAAGACACATCATAATTAAAATGCCAAATGTTAAAAAGAGAATCTTAAAAGAAGCAAGGGAAAAGAAGCTAGTTACTTACAGGGGAGTTCCCATAAGATTGTCAGCTGATTTCTCTAAAGAAACTTTGCAGGCTAGAAAGGATTGGCAAGAAATATTCAAAGTCATGAAAAACAGGGACCTACAGTGAAGATTGCTCAACCCAGCAAAGCTATCATTTAGAATCCAAGGGCAAATAAAGAGGTTCCCAAACAAGAAACTATAGGAATTCATCATCACGAAACCGTTGTTATATGAAATGTTAAAGGAACTTATTTAAGAAAGAGAAGATCGAAACTATGCACAATAAAACAACAATACATACATATCTACCACCAATGGAATCTAAAAAACAAACTAAGCAAACAAGAAGAACAGAGACAGAATTATGGATATGGAGAGCATTTTGATAGTTGCCAGGTGGCAGTGGGGGTGTGGGAGAATGAGTGGAGGGGTGAGGGGATTAAGAAGTACAAATAGGAAGTTACAGAA